AACAACAACAAAATCCATCTAACAGTTCTACCTTTTCTTCTTTATTTTTCCACACCTTTTTTTTTAAATATTTATTTATTTTTAGTTTTTGGCAGACACAACATCTTTGTTTGTATGTGGTGCTGAGGATGGAACCTGGGCCGCACACATGCCAGGTGAGCGCGCTACCGCTTGAGCCACATCCCCAGGCCCCTTTTCCACACCTTTTCATGTAGTATATGAATGCACATGTATATGTATACTTTAGGTACTTATATGTTATATAACAAACATTTCTTAGTTTAGTATTTGTCTTTCCCACCAAACTTTAACACTATAAGAGCAAGATATTTTTTATGTTCACTGAACTTCAATTTCTAGAACTTTGTAGATGATGAGTGAATATTTGTTGGGTGTTCAGACAGTATCTTCTCAGTATTACCTATAAAGCTACATGCTGTTCTCTCAGTCCTAAGAAAAATGGTATACCTCTTTAGAACTTTGCTTGCATTTTCCAACCTCAGCATATTTCAAATTATAAAACCCCATTCAACAGAGCTGATACAATGGAACTAAGTCTCCGTGAGAGAGCCAGTCAGAATTTTTGAATTCAGGAGAACCACAGTAGAACATAACTCTATAATTAAAGTAGACTCTTAAAAATAAAGGACAAAATATTTCTCAAGAAGATCATACAAAGATAAGATACCTGAGACTGGAGGTAGAGCTTAGCATGTGAGGCTTCTAATTCAATCCCCAGCACCAAAAAAAGAAGAGAGAAATAAGTGGAGTGATAAATCTGCCTCCTAAACAGATCTAAAGAAATGCTGTCTTACAGATCAGTTTGCATTCTCTGGATTTTGATTCAAATGGAGTTATAAAATATGGATCTGAAATTCATCCATGTCATTGTATATTTCAATAGTTCATTCCTTTTTATTGCTAAGTAGTATTCCATGATAAGGATATACCACATTTTTTTCTTCATTCACTTCTTTAAGAACATTTTTCTTGGGGCTGGGGATGTGGCTCAAGCGATAGCGCGCTCGCCTGGCATGTGTGAGGCCCGGTTCGATCCTCAGCACCACATCAAACAAAGATGTTGTGTCCACCGAAAACTAAAAAATAAATATTAAAAAAAA